GATGGTCTGCACTTTGATCTTCCCATCTCAGAAGACAAGAAATGTCTGAAGAGAGCATCTCAGTGCTGTGTAGCTGAGTGGAGTGCACATCCTGTCTCTGATGTTCCCAGCTGTCTGGGCTGCCAGCTCTAAAACTGGGTGCCCTGCTCCGAGCCAAGAAGAGGCTGTGTCACAGAGGGCTTTCCAAAGCCAGGAGCAAGGATCTCTGCGGTGATTCAGCTATGAGGCATCACTGCTGAAAGAGTGAGGCTCATGAGCTTGCTTACAAAGGGCAAGGACTTGTATGTGAGCATACTGTGCCCTTCTAACTAAGCTAGGTTTTACCACTGGTGAGCTCCCATTTCTCCTATCAACCACATATTACTGAAGTGTGCATAGAGCACAGAGCAGCATGATGCAGACACTTCCACAGGGATTGCCAGTGCTGATCTGCTGATCAGTTTTGAGAATTCAGGTAGGTTAGCCTAGCAGGGAACAGCACCAGGCACTGCTGAGCTATGTCTGGTATCCACCTCACTTGTTCAGAGCAAACACGCATTTATGGACAGCACTAAGTTGTACATTGCAGATTTGCTCCTAAAGCCCTATTCCTGTCACATTAGAAGCTCTGTAAACAAGGGAGTGGTTTTCTCCAATAATGCAGGGTCTAAATATAAAGCAGAGATAAAACAGATGGGAAAAAAAACACAAGACAGTGAGACTAGACTAGTCAACACTGAAAGCATCAGTCACATCATGACTTTGTTAGATTTTCTTTGGAGTAAATATTGCCACATTTCCTAACACTCAGCAATGCATGGGGGGCAATAAAGGATGATGGCAACAGAGATTCAGCTGATGGTGCATGGAGCGTGGCACAAAGGTTGGGAGGGCTGAATCGCACTTAACATGCAAGCTGTGTGTAAATTAAGAAATTGCAACCCTTTCTTTCCCCTGTTGGGAACTGTTACTCATTTTTCTTGCTATTTATTTAACTAAGCGGGGGGTTTTTGGAAGCAGCTTCAGTCTGCCATGACAGTTCTCTTCCTCTTCTAAATCTCCCTGTGTTCTCAAATCGGAGTTTCTGGCATTCTCCAACCTGAAATATGGGAAGTTTAAAGAAAGAAAGGCAAATTTTTAGAAAAAAAAAATCCAGTGGCAAAGTTCTGCTTTCCTATAAACCAAGCATGTGGCATGCAGATTACAACATGAGGGCCTTGTATGTCCCTGAAAAGGTGATTCTGCCTGTCACTGGTTTTCTCTAATAATCCTCTTTTTCCTTGGATTTCCCATTTGGCTTGTTAGAGCCTTCAGACTAGGCTGTGGTTTGGAAGATCTCTAAGATATTATTGTCTCTCTGCCCCCACAGACAACATACCCGTTGTGTCAGTACCTACTGTAGCATAAATGGGTCTCAGAGGTGGATGACAGTTGTTTGTGTTGAGTTGGATTTTTCTTTCCTTTTTAAACAGGGAGCAGCATCTGCAGAGACATCTACACCAGGCAGTGCAGGGATGTGCAGCTCTACCCCTGCTCACTTGGCTAAGTTGGGACACAGAGCAGCTGATGCAGGGCACTAGCAATGAACTTGCTGTGTGCAGGAGGTCCTGCTGTTGTTCCCAGGCCAGCCAGGGTCTGCTGGGGGTCTCGGTGCCATGCTGCATGGTGCAGGGCTCTGCAGGACCACTCCTCTATAAATGATTTTCATACAGGTTTTTATACTGCACAACCTTCTGCTGTCCTTGTCACATGCAGGGATTGGATGGGATTTGGTTCTGTTTGTCCTGCAGTATTTAAATCAAGAAACATTTTCCAGCCCAGCTGCTGCATCACACTGGATGCTACTACTTGAAACATGTAGGGTTTTTATGATTCACCTATTATTATTGTTATTATTATTATTATTACTATATTATTCATTATTATTTATTTTCCCACCCATTTCAGACATGTTCAGAACATGAGTGAGATAAAGACTGATGTGGGGCGAGCCCGAGCCTGGATAAGGCTTTCTCTGGAGAAGAAGCTTTTGTCTCAGCATCTGAAGCAGCTGCTTTCCAACCAGCCACTTGCCAAGTAAGTTGGCTCTTATTCTCCCAACTCTTTCCACATCTTCCTCACTGGTGAGCTGAGGGACCATGCAGGCTCAGTGCACAGCCTGGTACCTTGTCTGGATTTGCTGGTTTCCAGACAGAAGGGACTGAAGGGATGTGGAGGAGGTTCTGCCCATCCAGCAGGACAGGAGTCCACTTCTCTGCATAGTAAACTAATGTTCAGGAAAAAGAGGTTCGATTTAGGATCGGTGCATTGAACCAAGCCACTTCACAGCCTTACAGTCGTACAATTTTGTGCAAGTGAAGCTGAAGCCTTTTTTTTACAGTGGTGCTATGTTATGACTCCAGCAGGCACACATCCCAGCTGCAGCAGGACTGGGCTGGAGGCCAGCCCTCCCAGCCAAACAGCACTCCCAGCTCAGTCTCCTTTTGCAAGCTCAGGCACTGCCTGCTCCCTGACTTTGTTTTCTCAAAGCAATCTATTAAAAAAAAAAAAAAAAACTTATGTAAGGAAAATGTCCAAACTACTGCATGCAGTTCTTAGCAGAACTGGTGCTCTGATGAGTTGCATGCTTAATTATGCTGGAAGCTAACAAATACTGCAATCTGCCAATGAGTGAACAGCTAAAGATGAGCTGCATGCCACACTTAAGCTGGACCAGGTTAATTACTGGCAGGCTTTTGCACTGCTCTGGGCAACCAGTGTTGTGTGCTGAATTTACAGACCTAGGAGGGTGGCAGCAAGGTTGCTGCTTGGTTCAAGATGGTCTGGTGTTTTCTGTTTGGTTTCATCTCTTGGAGTATGAAGCAGAAGGAAGATTAAGTTATTAGGCATGGCTATTCAGTTCTGCGAAGATACATCCCATGGAAGATAATCGTGGGAAAGCTGAAAGAGCCTTAAATGGGGCTGCTGTGTGTAGGCTCAGGTTGTGGGCAGCACTAGTTTACATCTGCACTTTGCAGCAAAACCAAAACTGACCCTTCAATGAGATGAGCTCTGTAGCCCTGCTACAGCTCCACGGGAGCTCAGAGTGGGCTGAAAACACATGTAGCACAGAGGGTAAGTGATCTCTCTGGTTTTCTGGCAACTTGCATGAACTGCGGAATCTCACTTTTCACACCTGCTGTGTAGATCAACTCTTCCTTTGGTACTTTTTCAACAAGACAGCAATGCATTTTTTTTTTTACCAGGAAACTTTACAAGCGTTATGCTTTCCTACGCTGCGAGGAAGAACGGGAGCAGTTTCTGTATCACCTTCTCTCACTCAATGCTGTGGATTACTTCTGCTTCACAAGCGTCTTCACCACAATTGGTGAGTTGGAGAATCAATTCTTTTACCCCTAATAAAAATTTCTCACTGTTGGGATTTGTGAGAGAAGACCTTATTGCAGCCTTCCAATACTTGAAGGGAGTTTGTAAGCAGGAGGAGACTGACTTGTTACACAGTCTGATGTAGGACAAGGGGGAACGGTTTTAAATTAAGAAGGGAGATTCAGGTTAGATGTCAGGAAGAAATTCTTTATCCAGAGGGCAGTGAGGCCCTGGCACAGCTGCCCAGAGAAGCTGTGGTGCCCCATCTCTGGAGGTATTTAGGGCCAGTCTGGATGGGGCCCTGGGCAGCCTGAGCTGCTGGGTGGCAGCCCTGCCCATGGCAGGGGGTTGGGGCTGGGTGGGCTTTGAGGTCACTTCCAACCCAAATTCTGTGACTGCATTGCTGTTGCCACTGTGTGAGGGACTGAGCCCTTATCTGGAGTCCTTGGCTGTTGCTGCCAGCTCATAGGTGCTGGGTGTTGCTCTGGGAAACCAGCTGGAGAGCAAGGCTGTGTGGGAGTGTGCAGGATAAGAGCATCCTCACAAAAGAGGGTAATCAGCAAATTGTGCTGCAGCACCTGGTCTTCTTCTCTGCATTGTGTAGTCTCTTTAATCTTGCCTCCCCCGGCAAGCCCTCTACATCCTAATGCTTCTCTCTGCCATTTCCTAAAAGCACACCCAGCACTCTCCGCAGGCTGACAGAGACACAGAGGTCTCGGAGGAAGAGACGCGAGGCTTTGTGTTCCGCCGTATGGCATAAATCTCTCCCTCTCTCCTTAAACGCCTGGAAGATTCCCCCTCCCTTCCTTTCCTCTAAGAACGAGAGCAGACATTGGATGCGAGTCCTCACACCCGCCTCAGGCTGGCGGCTCAGCGCGGCCCTGCAGCGCCCCCGCGCGGCACCAGCCCGCCCCGGCACTGCTGGGCCGTGAGGCGGGAGCTGACCTTCGAGGGAAGGGCATGCTTTGCTCCGTGGGTCGCATTTACCACAGGGGGAGTAAAAGCCAACGCTGATGTTTCCTTCCTCTCTGTTCGCAGTGATCCCTTACAGGGCAGTGATAATCCCCATCAAAAAACTGAGCAATGCAATAACCACGTCCAACCCGTGGATCTGTGTTTCGGGAGAGCTAGGAGACACGGGCGTCATGCAGATTCCTAAAAACCTCCTAGAAATGACATTTGAGGTGAGTGCACTCTCTTTCCGTTTTGCTTTTCAAACACGCTTCCACACAAACATTAGCAGCTTGCTGAGGATTTATTGTCTTGAGAACAGAACATTTCAGATTCTGTCCAGGTTCTCAAGGTAGCTGGAAGCTCAAAACTGGGAGCATAGTGTGCTCCTCACCCACACTGTGCTCAGTGAAAGTTCCCCCCCCAGCACATACTACCTTTTAATCACATGCTGTGCTGCTGCTGCTGTCCCAGCCCAGAGCTCTGCTCCTCACCCTGTCACTTTGTTGCCATATCTCATTCCCTTCCAAGTTTTGCCAGGTATCCAAATTTTCCTTTTCCTGGCTCACTTACGATTTCTCATTTCCCTTCCAGTTTCTTTTCCTTCTTTCAATCTGCCTTCCTACTTAACACCACCGTGATCCCTTCCAGCCTCTGCTCCCAAATTTCCACTCCTTCTGCTGCAACTCTTTGTCTAACAATGCTACATCCCTTCCAACCAGGCAGTCTGACCCCTGTGCTCTTCAATTTCCCAGCTCCAGGTACTACCACAACCAAACTGTAGAGCTGCCATTCTCCCTGGGCTCTTTTCTCAGTGCTTAATGCGTTTACTTCTTTGCATTTGACTTGCCTGTGCTTCCCTCTGCCTTCTCACCCACCATGTAGTATAGGTTGGCTTGGTGCCACCCCAAAGCAGCTGCTGGCTGCAGGAAAAGCTCAGTCAAGGCACCTGTGGCTCCAGGCTGTACCATATCCAGTAAGCAGTGATTATGTAGGAAAATCTGCTAAAGTTGCATCCTTTGAGCATGTGCAGACTGATCTTAAGCAAGAGTAGTAAAAAAACAAAAACATGCAAACAAAGAACTCTTATTCAAATAAAAAGTGAATTTTAACACAATTATTTTCCTGGTACAGTGCCTGACTTATTGAAACAGTAATATTTTGTTGTAAAGTTCTCCACATTTCTAACAAGCAGAATGACAGGCTATACTAATACTCTTCCAGAATACTCTTTTGGCTGAAGTTTTTGTAAGAAATAGCAACTTGGATAGCCACACACTATGGAAAACATCAGCCCAGGCTGTGTGTTTGGCAGTAACAACAAAAACCAATGTCTTGTAAGGGAAGTGTTTAGGTAACGTTCATAGACTCTGCAGCCAGCCCCACCTACAATTACATACTGCACTGGAATTCACAGTCCTTTTTTCCTCGTTCTGCCTCATGAGAATGATTTTCATCTTGCTCAAAAATGAGCAAGCTGATTTTTGAAAATAAGGCAGGATTTAGAGACTGCATCAGAGTGTGGGGTGATTCCTTTTAAGCAAAGATCAGTATGCTCGAAATGCAGCTTTGAAAGGCTGTTTCTTCTGAAGGTCTATTTCTTCCACAAAAGCACACATTTGTATCAATTTAGCTCAGATGTTTGCAATTAACACTTCTCAGAATTACTCAGAGTTCTCACAGCAAAAAATGTAGTCTCTTCATAACCTTTTAACAGTTCTTATTTCACAGTATTTATTTTCTCCTGTCTTACAATAAAACAGATTATGCTGCTTTTCAAAATGTTCTGCCTGTTTGGTTGAAAATGCTTGCTGTATAAATCAATGGAAATTGAAGAAAAGCATACATTTGGGACCATATGTGTGCATGTGGTGGGGGGGGTCTGTTTTGTTGTTGTTGTTGTCTTTTTAATGAAGTAAAAACTGTTATTTATTTCAGTGCCAGAATTTAGGAAAGCTGACAACTGTTCAGATTGGTCATGACAACTCAGGGCTGCTGGCCAAGTGGCTGGTTGATTGTGTCATGGTCAGAAACGAAATAACAGGACACACATACAAGTAAGCAACAAGTTTTAATTTTCTTTGTCTGAAATTCCTACTGATCAGTCTAGAAAAAGCAGGAAAACATTCATCTTTTCAGTTAGGCAAAACTATGGTGGAGCAGCATGGGCTGATTTAAGTACCTGATAGAGCTGGGTTGGTCTCCCCACCCCCGGCTCTCATTTCAGAAGCTCTAGTTGGAGCCAAATAATCTGATAAATATTAAATGAGGCTTGAGTGCAGGATTTTCCTTACATCTCTCTGAGATAGGAGAGACGGTATGGATGCTTTTGGAGTGATTCATATGTTTACATCTAATAATTAAATCTCTTGATTTAATGTAGGATGGTAACATTCTGCACAAATAAACTCTTTACACCCCAAGTGCTGGAATGATAGTTTAGGGCAAATCTTTGGGCTTTCAGGGCTGGGTTTTTTTGTTTTGTTTTGTTGTTTTTAAATCATTCAAATACATTACATTATCTCCTAACTCACCATTGTTTTTACAAAACGTCTGGATAAACAGACAGTTCTTTTTCTAAATTAAAGAAATTAGACTAAATTGAACTTGGAAAATTATCCCTCAGAAGGGTGAGCTCAAGAGCTTAGAGTTGGGGCAGAGTATGGGGGAAAGAGGGAGGACACAATTACAAGCAGTGGTAGCATGGATGTGTGCGTAGACTTCACTGGAACTGCTGTGTGGCTGCAACTGAAAAATAACCCAGCAGAGAGCTACGTGTCCCATTAAATAAGTGTATAGCACTTCATGTTTTCCAGTGCTTTCATGCTAGCTTTGCATGTTTCCCCTTCTTTAAGAATGAAGGCAAATGTAGTTCTCTGGCTTGGTTTTTTCAGTTGCGGTGCAGTAGAATACTGCCTGCTGAGCTCTGGTTTGTGAAGAGCTCTTTCCTGCCTGCTAGCAGTGTTGGTGGGTGCTAGCTGTCCCTCTGGCTTTGAGATAAGGCTACCTACCCATGTGGCTGACCCATGTTTCTGCTGGGTACTCGGCAGGTTTCCCTGCGGGCGATGGTTGGGAAAGGGCGTTGACGACGGCAGCTTGGAGCGAATCCTTATTGGAGAGCTGGTGTCCTCCACATCTGATGAAGAGCTGGGAAAGCAGTGCCGTACTCCACCCCAGCAGAAGTCTCCTACCACAGCTCGGCGGCTGAGCATCACTTCTCTCACAGGAAAGAACACCAGTAAGTCCAGTCCTTCCTCCCAGGACTGTAGAGAAGGGGGCAGTGGCAGGACAGCTATGAGCAGGACAGCTTTTGCTGGGGTGAGGCTTGGTGGAGAGGAACAGCCACGAGCTTCTGTTTTTCCTATTTCTGTGCCCACAGCTTGCTTTGTGGAGGTGAACGTTGCCTCTTTCATTCTCCTCTTCTGACAGTTGAGAGAGAACGTACCTCTGCCCTTGGAGCATGGAGATATGGGATGGGGGAATAGGAAGCAGCAGAATCTGCAGTAGCTGGTGCTGCTTTTCTTCCTGGTTCTCTCTCTTCAGTCAGCAAGGAGACAGGCACCTCTGGGGGTCAATTCAGAGTGATGTAGGTGCTGTGATCTGCCCTCTAGAGGATCCATCTCCAGAGAGAGTGTGGGGACATCAGCTTCATGTTCCTCACATTAGGTTTTGAGAATAGTGGCAGCCAGCTATAACACAGGGTACAGGACTGCGAGGACTGTGTGAGGCATTCTTCACTACAGCATACAGGTGAGCACAGTACACACTGTGGATCATACACATAAATTTGTTCAGCTCTGGTAAAATTAGATGAAATCATTGCTGAAAGGTCAAGCGAGGAAACAGCTTCCAAGAGTAAATTAACTAAAAATCATCACTGCAGCTCTTCACATGCATGAAGGAGTGGGCATTAGAGCTCCTTGCAGAGTGTTTACTTAGGTCTGGGGACACTAATGCCCAATAATTTGTTTTTGTTTTGAGCTACAGGAGATACTTTTTCAGACCTACCAGAGACTGTAAAGGTCATCACATACTGAAATCATGTAATCTTAGAATCCTTAGAGTTGGAAGGTACCTCTGAAGGCCATCTAGTCCAATTCTGCTGCAATGGATAGGGGCACCACAGCTAGAGCAGGCAAAATAATACTGAATTATTCCATGCTTCCAGAGTAACAATTGTAGGACATGAAAATCTGGAAAGAAGTCACAGAATAATCATTGAAACGATTAAAGTCTGGGACCCCCACTGAGGACACTGGGGAGTTACTCAGCACTGGGGCATGCAGGGCTGGCAGAGCAGCCCAGGAGGCTCTGATGAGAGGCAATGGGGCTGGCTGTCCTTCTGCAGCATGGGTGTCCTGGTGGTCCTGCTGCTGGCAGAGCTTTGAGGCCATACAGGGCTGTGATGGCAGTGATGAGCCCCCTCACAAAGGGCACTGTCAGCTCTTTGATGAACAGCTGCAGCCCCCACAGTAAGGCTGCCTAGTTGAGCCCTAACATACACAGGAAGTCGTCAACGGTGCACTGTTCCCTCAAGTACCTCCCACCACTCACCAAGATCCTTATGATCTCTTCTTGGAGCCACTGGAGCAGAAGGTCAGGGTCTTCTGGGTGTTCTCAGAAAAAGGCAGCCCAGACCTTAGGTGGGAAGTTGTGCTCTGGAGCGATGAGCACCAGCTCTGCAGGCCCCTGCTCATCCTGCAGGCTGTTACCTGAGTATTCTGCAGACAAGGTAATCATCATCTGATCTCACTCATTATTTTAGCCTGCATATGGCACAGCTCAGCTCCTTTTTTACCTATTGGAAGGCACAGCCATAAGAAGGCTAGTGGAAATGGGTCATGTAGGTGACATCATCAGTGCTGTCCCTAAGGTGGGCAGCAGCGATGCCCAAATCCCACAGCAGCAAATCCTCCCAGCCCTTGCTCCCTGCCAGCCACCTGGAGGCTGTGTTCCCAACCCACTCACATCCACTGCTGCAAGTGCACTCTACATGCCTCAGTTGTCTGAGCCAGGCAGGACCAGGGAAATGCTGATGATGCTGTATGGGAACTGTTGATCATGGCCTGTACCTCTGATTGACCACCTGACACAAGCAATGAGTCAGCTGCGGAAGCACAGGTGCAATTCACCTGTGTTACCAGGAAAGGGTGGAGCCTGGTTCCACCTCTCCTACATCCCATTTAAGGGCTAGCTGCCACTGAGAAAGGATATTTCTCTGGAGATTGCTCCTTGTGGAGTTTACTGTGAGCCTACAACACTGATGAGCTTTCATTTATTTTGATTATCTTTCCACTGTGATAATCTTACTAAGCCTAACATCTGTATACTTACTGACTGTACAAATGGGCACTAAGATCTACTGCTAGCAGTCCCACAGCACAACCCAACTAAGTCCCCGTTTGGTGGTCTGATCTCACAGATGTTCTTGATTAGAATCTCTGCCAGTGCTCAAATGCATGTATTTGGGCACCACCTGGGCCTCCATCACCCTTCATCACTCAATGGCTTTCCTTTGTGATGCTGATAGATCTGGGAAAATAAAAATTGCATGTTAACTCTCTCCACAGTAATCCATCTTCTGCGAACTGTATACACTTTCTGAAACTTAGAGACACTTCTGTTTGTTCTAGTTTGGATGCAGTACAAATTGGTGTCAGTCTTGACATCAGGTTTGCTTTTCATACCAAGTGCTCATATCACTGCAGGTTGTTTGCTTGCACGTTCCTGTGCAGCCTACTCTACAAGACCTGCTTTAGCAGGGAGTTGGACTAGATGAACTCCAAATCCCTTTCAACTTCTATAATTCTGTGTGTGTGAGTGACTAGATAACTTTTTGGAGGTGCTTGCAGAAGAAGATGAAATGGTAGCAGGTAGAAGCATAGAGTTTTGCAAAAACACAAAGTATAACAATTCAGAGCAGGAATAGGGCATACATTTTAACGCTGAAGATTACTTTCTCTTGGAAGTATTGGCAAGGAGTATCCTCTTGCCTCTACCTCCTCACACTGGTACAATGACTAGTCACATATCTAAAGCAATTACTTTTTGTGGCTCATTGTGGATTCAAATCAGGAATTCATAGGTGCAGGGTTTTCTGGCATGAGTTGCATAGAAGCGAGTCAAACGACTTGCCCACAACCTTCCAGCCCATGTCTCTTCATCACAGGATTGCTGCAGTCTGTGATGAACAAGATGTGATTAGCTCAAATAAAATATTTATTAAGCCAGACCCTCGGGTTGTGCATTTTTAAGTATGGCAATTTATTTTACTATTCCAGGATTGCTCCTTAGTTGCTTATAATTATGACTTGAGTTTACTCAAGACAAATGACTACCTGAGCTCTTTACTGTTGAAGATACAGAATAATTCCTGTAGTTCAAGCTGTATCATCATGAGAATTTGATAAATGTTTTAAAGCTGATATCTTCATCTGGTGTCTTTTCCATGGTTTCACAGAGCCAAACGCAGGACAGATCCAAGAGGGAATTGGAGAAGCTGTGAACAATATTGTGAAACATTTTCACAAGCCAGAGAAAGAGGTACTTCTTGTCATTACCTGTATTTTGTATACAGCAGGTTGTCAATATAGTTATAAATTGACTAGTAGAGATTGTTAACCTTTAGATTTTAAGCCTGTTGGCATATGAACAGGACAAGGTGTTCTCACAGACTCTCCCTTTCCCACAGAGAGGGAGCCTTACCATTCTGTTGTGTGGGGAGAATGGCTTGGTTGCAGCACTGGAGCAGGTCTTCCACCACGGATTCAAATCAGCTCGCATTTTTCATAAAAATGTCTTCATCTGGGATTTCATAGGTAAGCTGGTGTGTGATTTGGAGGTAGAAGGAGATTAGGGCAAAATGGCTACTTATGTACAGACTTTGGGATTCTGATGCCGTTTATTCCTGCCTAGCAAAATCCAGATTGTTTGAAAGGAATGAGAAACAGAGTGGAAGATGAGAAATACAGAACTTTACATAAAGAGTGTGAATCTCTGCAGAAATTTAAGAGCACTTCAGGTTCTAGTCACATATTCATAGATGAACGTTCAAACAACTGTTTCCCTGATTTTTCCAAGAAAAGAAATTGGGCTGGAGTGAGTTGGAGGTTGGAGTAGAACAGCAATTGATATTGGAAGAAGGGTTGGGACAGCTCAGAGAGTGAAAAGTTTATATTTCTAACTGAGAGCTAACCACTGTACTGATCATCTGTGATATCTATCTGTAGGCCTCTGTTACAGTAATTTAAGTCATGCCTATACCCTTAAAATATGCTGACAGGTTGAGATTCTTAGCCTGAGGGTAAGCGCTTACTCAGAGAAAGTGAAAAATCAAAGCTGATGCTATCACAATGAAACCATTGATAGACACTGGTGCGGCTCCTTGATGTTACACGTGTCGTACGTCAGTGTATCTGCTGACCACAGCCACGCAGTAGAGGTGGAGATCACCACCCACCTACTGTTTTCAGGGCGAGGAATCTATACATAAACCGTGCAGTCGCTCTTGGCAGGTTGTTCAAGGGCTCCCTTGGTTTAGGCTAGGGTAAATCTTGGTTGTACTGAAGTACTTCAGCACTTCTCACTGGGTTCTGATTTTTTTCCCTACCACAGAGAAAGCCGTTGCCTATTTTGAAAGCAGTGACCAGATTGGAGACAACGAGGAGGCCCTTTTGCTTCAGAGATCATCATGCAAAACTTTCTGCCATTATGTGAATGCCATCAATACAGCTCCAAGGAACATTGGAAAGGATGGCAAATTCCAAATTCTGGTTTGCCTGGGGACAAGGTACCTAACTGCTCTTCGTTATGCATGTTCTCTTGTGCTAGACATTTTACTGTTATTACCACCTCTATTTTTCCATTTTAAGAGATTTTGTACCTTCTATTACCAGTACCTATTTTTAGGCAGCTGTAATAGGAGACAAAAAATCGTGGCAAAGAAGCAGTAACAATACATAGCTACTGTCTAAACGTCTAAGAATATTTTTAGCTTTTAATATACCTGTCATATGCATGAAATCTGTCTTGAAGCTGTACTTTTGGTGAAGTGCAGATTTTGGGAATGCTGAGTTTCTTTACAAGAATTGGTGCATTTCTAAATCTTCACTGAATCACTGCCTATGAAAATGGGATGTCTGTTATAATTTTGACAAACTATTCTAGGTTTATCTTTCCTCCCACATAGGATGCTTCCTGTTTTGCGCTTGTGGGGAGGAGAGAGACTCAGTTGTATGTTACTGGGGAGCTGGTATATCTAGAAATAAGTACCTGGATACTCTGAAAAACAGCTGAAAAAGCATCACCAAAAAGTTGGTTCTTTTCCCAGGTTTTGCTTATCCTGTTCCTGATCAGAAAATATTGCTGAATTCTTTCATAGTCAATTGTCCAGTTTTGCTTGTATCTTTCCACTTTCATTCCTACATTACAGACAATTACTTCTATTCTATTAACAAAACTGTGGGTTATGATTACGCAGGAAGCTTTTATGTCCAAACAGTGTGCTCTGCCCTCAGACAGAGACTGACTGTTGTAGGCTCTGTTCTTGGAGAAGCACGTCAGTTTGAGATGTGTTGTATATCGTGCTGCAGTCACTCCTTTTCTCCCTTGGCAGGGACCACTTGCTGCCCCAGTGGATCCCCTTACTGGCAGAATGCCCACTCATTACAAGGATGTATGAGGAGAACGCCCTGCTACGGGACCGCATGACTGTCAACTCCCTTATCCGAGTCCTACAGACATTGCAAGACTTCAACATCGTCCTAGAGGGATCGCTCATTAAAGGAGTGGATGTTTAGCATGGCTTTGCTGAGAACTTCATTATTCCTTTCCCAAGCAAGCAAACCACAACTGGGAGACCTGTCAGGACTTGAACGCGACGGCAGCGCATCGCTGCAAGGCACCACTGCTGGCTCCCGTGGGAGCAGGAAGCCCAGTTTGTGCTCCATCGGGACTGTCCTCAAAGGCTGCAGAAAGCTAAGAAGCAGTATTGTAGTTTATTTGAAACAGAAATTTAGTATAAAATAGAGTATTTTCATGTGTTTAGATGTGTGTAAATACGCTATCTTCTTTAAGAAATTATATTACTCTAAGAAAGTTTTCTTAGACTGAATGTTCTTGTTCTGACTGTGAGTAGCTTAACCCAGGGGAGGGGCTAGGGAGGGAAGGACTGCGGTGGGAAGGGATGCTGCTACTTGCTTGCAAGGAAGAAGCCAATCAACGTGTAAATACAGCGCAAACTCAGCAGGGCTTTTTTCAGGTATTGCAAATGAATACAGCAAATATCCTTATGTAGCCATTGTGATTGTCTCACTCTTGGAAATGTTAGTGTATGTTGTTTATCCTGCTGTACATGGTCTCCCTTTATTTTTTATTTGTTCAGAGAACCAGCCCTTTCAGTGCACAAAGTTGTGAATTGTCTTTTTTTTTTTTCTGTAAAGGTCTTTGGTGTCACTTCTGTTGACCTCCAGAAGAGGACACATGAGCTTGAAATGCTTAAACACTGGAGATGAGAGATGCTGAGCCTTGGAGCCTGAGACCTGAGGAAGTGGTACTGGAGATGGGAAACGATGGCTTGCTGGCTTGCTTGCTGTGTTCCTTGTCTCTCTGTATGTTCTGGTAGTTCCCCACTACCCCCAGCCAGCTTGTGTTGTGGATGGCTTTTCTTCTTTCCCCCTCTCATCTATAGGAATTTGGCTCCTACCAAATTCTTGCTGTACTTGAGAGAATCATTGCTGCAGACACCAATGTTGCTGTGATACTGAGCTGGTCTTGAAATGCTGACAGGTTACTAGTCTTCCTTTATCCCACAGGATGAGTGTTCCTAGAACTACAGGACCTTTGATTATTTTGGTGGTTTTGTTTGTTTAATTATCCAGGTACAAAAAAAAAAAAGGGAATGATGTGAAAGGAGAAAAAAGCTGGTGTTTTGAGGATCTCCTACATTCTTTCCAGTTAATGTGTTAGTAATACAGTATGTTTGTGTAGCTATGATCTTGAAGAGGAACGAGGAGCAACTGAAGTCTGCAAAGCTAAAAATTTAGCAACAAATTGCATTTAAAATTATCAGATGCCATGCAGCAAATACAGAGTGTATTTCCTTGTTTGTAGTTTGGGAGTTGTGAGGGTCTGAGGGTACCGTTAACTTCATCTAGTTCCAGTTGTGCAGGTTAGTTTAAATATAAATGTCTGCTGTAACTTGTTTATTCCCTTTGATCTTGGTGTTTTGTGAGAGGATTTCCTGGATGTCTCACAGCTGGAGCCATAAGCTGAGGCTTGGGGAAGCCCTGAGTGGTACTGTAACAGTCTGGCACTTTGTTCGCTGGCAGCATTAGGAGGGGCTTTGGAATGATGGGCAGCATCACATCTCAGCATGGTGCACATATGGTGGAGCAAGGGCAGAGAGCTAAGGAAAGGGAATGAAGATGAAAACTAGGGTCTGCTCCCTCACCTACTTCTTGTTCAAGCTGCTTCCCTTTCCTGTGGTCCTTCGACTGTCCAGTTCTTAGATCAGCACGCATTCTGGTTTGAAGGTTTGCGTCACGTTCCTGGCCAGAAGGAAACTCTTCATGTGTCTCCATTTCAATAGAAGGGAGAGTTTTACGTTACAGAATGGTTTTGGTTGGTTTTGGTTTTGGTTTTTAAGAAAGTAGAAGGTCAGGAAGTCACTGACTGTAACGGGAGTTCCAGCTTTTAATTACTGTTCCTTCCTCCTGTGCTTGTACTTTCTTAAACTAACTGAACTCATCGCAGACACTGTAGGCAGCGCTGCTGTGTCACCACTGTGGGTGGTGAGCAACTAATGTTAGGGCTGTGAGTGGTGGTGTGTGTTGGCAGCCAGAGCCCACGGCTCTGTGACATCTCTCTTACATTTCCAGGAGGGTGAAATTCAGGGTGTGAGGGTTTTCTGAGCGGCCAGACAAGTCTGCTTAAAGTTCACAGAAAATCTGTGACAGCTCTATAGCAGCAATTGAAAATGTGTTCCTCTACCAGTAAATGATACATTTAGCACCAGAAGCTGCGTGGCAGAATTATTTAGTAATGACTGCTTAGGCAATGTTTTGGTTTCTCATACAACTCAGGCATTTTATGTCTAATGACTGCTATATATGACTTTTTCATGTGCAGCCCAGCCTAAGTGGCTTTCATTTAACTGAAATAACAACTTCTTTAGTCCTTGGATTTCTTTGCAGCAGCATCTGCATTTTCTAGCTGGATACTTCTAAAAAGTGTATTGCTGTGTGGCTCTCAGATTAGTATTTATTTATGACTTAAGCAGTCATGACATTCACCCAACATGACGTGGGTTACGTGCGAGCAGGATAAAGTAGAAACACAGGCACCTCTAAAGGTCAGGGATGGGTGAATGTACACTCCAAAAAGGGCAGTAAGATGAAGTATTTCTTAAGTTAAAATGAGTCAAAACCTGAGACATTTGAATATTCAAAACTGGGACTTTCCCTATTTCAAACTACATTAAGGAACCTTTAGCACTTATCGAACACAGTTTCACATCTTCTTTTTTAGCGAGCGTTGACTTGTTTTATGTCAAGTTTCACATCAGATTAATAATATGATAAAAATGATGTCTGTCTAATAGTTCTTCGTAGGCAATAAAGCACCCTAAGATCTGGGGTGCAGCAGAGTGTCCCTGCTTCTCAGATGGGACATTTGACAACCTTGGGATTACTATTCTTTGTAGGGACTTTTTATTCTTTCATGTATGATTTTTTTTTTTTTTTTGTAGACTACCTTTGCTGGAAACTGTGAGGTTTTCTCTTTAAGGTTTACAGAAATCGTTCTGCCTGCTAGAGCAAGAAACCTATCAGGATCCTTCTAAGCTAACGCAGTTCTTACTTCAGTGTTAAAGCACCTTCATTGGTTGAGAAAGGGAATCTGGGAGAAGACCAAAGCTCCGTGGTATCTGCTTTTAAAAAACAATTCCTACCCAATACCTGTTTGCAGATGTCTGAGTTTGCATAGTCCTGTTATTATCCTCACATCCGGCATGGTGACTGGGAAGTCAGAGAATCCAACACCTCACTGTGTACAAAACCTGTATTTATAATTCTCTGAAGCGAATGCGATTCTACTGTCTAGTGACAAAACTGCTCATGTTTATTCTGAGTTGGCATGTGTAATTAGGAATCATTGTTCAAAGCTGTCTTTTTAGAATAGTTGTGCAAAGGCATATTTGAGAAAATTCCTTCTTTCAATCAAATGAAGGTGTGCATCTTACGGGGAAATATTGTGTGTTACACTTGAAATGTACAGATGTGCCCTGTATGGCTTCAGATGACCCTTTGGTGTCTCCATTAAGTATATTTTGTCTTTACATTATTACTAACTGAATAAGAACTGGATTATTTTCAAGACAACATTAGTAGAAGTATTGTTCTATCAAGCACTTTAACATACATATCACAAACTGACATGGGTTTTTCAGGTTTTGAAGTACATTGAAATACAGCTTTTCATGCTATGTCCTTTACAAATAAAACTGTGAGAATAATGGTTGGTGTCGCCTTCTCCTTGCAGAAGAACTGAGAGTCGAGTTGCGAGCTGGAGAGCTGATGTGAGCCTTTCCCCTGCACCTGTGTTGCTCTGATACTCAAACATGGGATCAAAGAGCTGGAATGCAATTCCTGCCCTCCGTTCTGTCTGTTAGCACACACTATGATGAGAGAGCTTGATAGAGAAGAGACAGATGGATGCTGGCAACAAGGAAGCTGCAATTGATAATGAAATGTGCTGCTTAGTAGGTGAAGGCTTTTCCAAGCTGGACTGGATTTTCAGAAATACTCCTTCCCTGTGCTCCCCAGCTCCTGATCTTCTGGGTGGCAGCCCTGCCCACAGCAGGGAGGTAATTGTTAAGGTCCCCTCCAATCTAAGTCATTCTATCATCCTATGATTATGGTTCTGTGAGGTTATCTCTTGGTTTAGAAAATGCAGACAGTGTCAGGAGGGGACTGCAAATCTCACTGCATGTATGTAGACATCCTCAAATACATCATTTGAGGATACCACTGCTTTTGGTGTAGCACCAAAAATATAGGATCCCATATAGGTGAGTAAGATCCACGGATCTGCTTGTTGTCAAATGTCAGTAGGAGTGATCATACTTAACACACTTCCTTACTGAATGCTTTAGACTGATGTGTGTAAATCTGAGATAGAAGGGTCTGGCTTCCTAAAGGCTATAAATATTTGATGTACAGCAGGAGTGAACTTGTCCTGATGAGGAAATGCAAATAAATTCCTCCTCACTGCACTGCCAGTTGTACAGTCTGGGAACACTGCAGTGTTTTCTGCAAAGGTAAGTAGAATAAAACTGTCTGAGAAAACACACATGGGTAAGAGTCAGAACAGCTCACTGATCTGTTCCTTGTCAGCATTTCAGGTAGGCTTCTTGGAACAAACTGTGCTCAAGTTAAGAGCAAAGTCAGTCTTCCCTCTCTGTCACCCTATCAGCTCAAAGACTAAACTCTTGTCACTGCCATCAAGGAGGACTTCATTACTGCCAGTGTTCTTAGGTACTGCAGGAAGGGTAACACTGTAATGGGCCCGTCTGTATTCTCCACAGACCTTGCAGAGCTCTTCTGAAAGAACTTTGTCAGATATGACCAAACAAATTATTTACTCATTTGACCAAACTTATCTTTCTCAAAGTGGATTGGGAGGGAGCAAACCCACCCCCCAGTGCTTACCCACAACATAGTTTTTAAGAAACATTGCTGTAAAGGCTCTTGTTGCTGTGTAATTGAGTGACAACCTTGTTATCATTCAGTGATTGATTCAGTGGGATCCATAAATCTAAAACTGTGATTTATGTCCAAGAGGTTCACATATATTAGAGTAAATGGTGTAAGTAATGGAATAATCCCTAAGATACTGATTTTCTTGCTTGTGGTGGCTATCCAAGTCTTGGGCAAGTCTACTTGACTTGTATGAGGAGCAGAAGTAGCCAAGCCCCGCAGCTGGGCTACATGGCTGCACAAGTGAACGGGGTGAAGAAGTGAGTTCTGTTTACAAACACCAGTTGGCAGAACTGTGCAGCAGGTTTAGTGCCTGAGGAGCTCTAATGCTTACCATGGGGCTTCTGTAATCCCAGCAAGAGACAGGCATGGAGAATGCAAGGGGCACCCCAAGAATGCTCTGCAATCCTTACACTGTCCTGCTCTCAACAAGAGGTTTCCACAAAGGCTGCTATTAGCCAAGGGAAGCCATTTTCCTTGCACTGCCTCTGCAGCCAGAGGGAAGAGATGAGTTCTTCCAGTTGTCCCTGTGAAGGGAAACCTCACTTGGCTGCTTTTAATTAAGCTTGGAGAAGTCCAGCAGAGGCAGCTTGCAGAGGTTAAGCTAACATTAATCTTTATGAGTATCCCCTCCAGCACTGTCCTCCCATACTGAGTTCATTTCTTCAAAGGGATCCCAGTGACATATTAGCATGTTCTTTACACATTAAAAAATAAGAGCTTAAGGACAATGAAATTTGTAAGGGGGACGAACTGAGGTTTTTGGTCTGATAGTGTTTTTTTGTTTTGCTTTTTTGTTTGGTTTTGTTTATGATATATTAATAACTTGACATGAAGAAAAATTTCATGTTTGCCTTAGAGAGGCACAGGATAGAGGCCAGAAAAATGTGGGTTTAATTTCTAGGTCTCTTTGTCTTCTACTGAGACCTTTAATCAAAGTGCTATGGTGCGTCCCATTCCACAGGCAGGAAGCTGCAGTAGAGTTCTGGGTCTTCTCCTTGGCCTGCCTTTACCTTGCCAAGAGAAGCAGCTGTTTGGCCTTCGGGTTGAACTGGTGTGTGACTGGGAGCAGCTTCTCTGTGCTGTTGTGACAAAAGTACCCTGGGGTTCTCATCTGCAGTTAAGTCTGGATTAAAGGCGTTTATAAAACCTGTGGGTCTTTGGCATGTGGGCATGTGCTTGTCTACCAAAATGGAGGAATGAGTAACAGATGGTTGCAAGAGCAAGTCCCCCTGACTTTCCATCCTGAGTCCAAATCTCCCCTAGAATCCCAGGAGCAGGGTCTACAAGACAACAAACTGTCCATGCCAAGAAGCAGCAGTTATGCTCAGGTGAAGGTGATGGTGATGCCTGCAAGCTTAAGCTTCTTGTGCTCTGGCTCAACGAGGGAGTCACCTAGAATACTATAGGACACCATGCTCCTGTATTTCAAATAGCTGAGATCTCTTACATCGACTCCTTAGTCTGTTTCTTCTGATCATTGCTTTCACCTGAACTAAGTTTACCCACTCACACCCATGCAGCTTTTCAACTGTCATTACCCAGTGAGATAAATAGGATGTGCTTAAATCAGACCATGTAGGCTGAACCCAACAGCCTGGAATTGTCTCACTATTGGCTTGTCTGAGATCTGAACCTCTTGCAGATGGTCTGTGGTTCCTGACTGTATAAATAGCAGGAAGCTGGCTGAAAGTGGGTGTGGTGCACAGGACATTTTTCCTCCCCTATGTAAAAATGACTTTTAGCAAAACTGGGAACTGAAGTAAAACACCTCCCACGGGCTCTACCAGCTTTCATCTTCTTAAAGCTGTGGAAAAGATTTCCATTTGTGGTAACGGGAACACAGAAGAACTAGGAAAAACCTGCAGACCAGAGAAGCTATTGCATTTGCTCTCTGAGCAGACTTTGTTACAAGAGAATTTCAGATGTCAGCATGAATTTGTACTCAGCAGGGGTAGTGCGGGTAGCTGTGATGGGTTCCAGGCTTCATCATTTGTGTCAGCACAATGCTGAGAAATAAGGAATGATCAGTACGGAGGAGCTGTGAACTCTCCAGTCTTTGATTGAAACGTGTCGTAGGAGGTGCACATACAAAAGTGATCCACCATGGCTGTTGCACGTTGGCCTTACTGAAGTCAGTGGAAGTTCCTAACAGCAATGAGCTTAGAAAGGCATACCTGAGCACTGCTGACTGCTGGCCTGTTAGTTTGTGCCCTCAGGAGGAGCACTTCTCTTTGGGGAAAACAGCAAAATGTCTGTTGTTGCTGCTTTCGGTACACAATGTAGTGAGCAAGTCCCACTCTCATGCATAGAGATTTGTGTCTGGATGAGCTCCGCATTTTGAGTACAGCGTGCTCATCTCTGTGGAGGGCCAGGCTCACACCAGTGAAGATATTCAAAAGCCTTGTGTTCATCTCTTTGGTAGCCATAGCCTATCAGAGCAGTGATAAGATGCCGTATCTGAAGGCAAGAGATTGGCAGAGATGAAGACTTCTGCAGTATTAACTCCAGACAGAGTTGTGAACAGTATGTTTGGCCTTAGCACTTACTGAAGGAAACCCTGCATAGAGCCCATCCGGCTCAGCAGCCCAGAGCATGTTTCTGAGCAAATCTGAGACCCTATTTTCTTTTAGATCAGGAACAAACAGTGCAAAGTAGTGCAAGGAACAATGCCCCTTTTCTTCCCAAGAGCTCACTCTGGGCCGTAGGTACTAGAAGCACTTCTCCAGCTGGAGCTTGCATGCGTCAATCTCTTATCTGTGCTTGGCCTGCAGCTGAAGGAAGCTTTCCTATGACGTTGTAACAGGACCAGCTCCTGCATGTTTTTTAGAGAGTAGGAATGTTTTCATCCAAAACTGATGCGAGGCATCTTGCAAGTTTTCCCAAGCACTGCAAGCCTGATACCTTGTCCCACTCCACCACCATAGCTGGCCCTGTTCTTGGTGAAGCCCCAGGTTGAGCTGCTGTGTGAGGTTCCTCCTGAAAGAGCTTCCTGGGGTGCTCTCGTTGCCTTGGACCTCCCTCCCATCAAGCTTCCTAAGCAGGGGCATTCTGAGTGACTGAGTGCTGTGCTCAGCATGAGGGCCGTGAAGAAAAGGAAACAGGGTTTTACAGAGAGATGGGGAAGGAAAGAGCCTGCTGCTCATTGAAACAGTTCTCAGTGTCACCAAGTAAGAACCTCCGCAACTTCCCTTTGTCCCCCAGAGTACTGCCTGGGGCAGGAGGGCTCACACTGCCTTCACTCCTATCAGGACTAGAGGAAACTTTCTGCCTCTGGTTCAGGCAGTGAATCAGGTATGGAAAAACTATTGAGGACTCCAGGCTTACACTGTGACATCTTTATCCACCTCCCCATCCCCTCTTTCACAAAATGATTGCCTCCAAGGGACTGTGCTATTTTTCTTCTTGTTTTTAGCTATGTTGTCATAGGAGCCAGGGTAAGGAGATGGGAGATGGTGGTAGCAGCTCTGTTTGTGTCTGTGTAATCACTCATGGCTCTCTTACTCAACTAATTAAAACCAAACCCTCTCTAGCTACCCTGAAAAAATGTAAATAACATATTCAAATATTGTTCTGTGGTACAACGAGCACCCGACTTACAGAAAGTCTGTTACAAAATGGGGTTTTTCTTGTGAAGAAGTGGATGGCCGCAAATTAAGCGAATACCATGCTTTCTTCATGAAAGCACTAAGCTGAGGACAAACAGAAGTGTGTACAATTAAAAATGCATGAAATGCACAAAGACAAACAGCTGGCA